ACTTCCCTCCAATAGTAACCTCAAATCGCTCACTTGAAACAGTTGTACATTGCGCGATTTTCCGTAAGTGGTCAAACGCTCGAGTAGCTGCTGCACATCTGTCTCGTCATCGTTCAGATGCTCGAGATACACAATTTTCTCACGTTCGCTACTGACAGGATCCGTAATTTCAGCTTCAACCTCAATACGTTTGGCTGACAAATTGACGAGAACTTTTCCTGTGTAGACTGAATTCCGTTTGTTCGGAAAATCAGCATAGTGATATTGTTGTTGATGCTCGCTTTCTTGCTGTTGAGTGACATTGCGCAGAAGAATAGTAGGCAAATTTTCTGAACCAATGGTAATACGAAATTGTTGAGCAACTGTGTGGCATAGCTGTAACGTTGTGCGATAGTCAAGCTGATATTTGGGATCCTTTTCTTCGGCATCAATGCAATGAACAGTGATCAAACGACGAAGAGCACTAGGAGAACATAAGTTTAAAAATAAGTTCATGAAATGACTTCTTACCTGAGAGCTGCTCCGCTAAAGTTTGTCGTTGCCATGGTTAATTTATCGAGAATGCTTGGGGTCACATGCCATGGTTTAATGCCTGATAAAATCTTCTTGCGTGCTTGTGAAGATGGTCGACCAACAAAAAACTTTCCTGACATACGTCGCAAAAATGCTTCATCCATCATGTGTAGTCGATTGGTAGCACAGAAGATCATCAGATTCGGAACATCCTTGATACCATCAATGACTGACAAAAGAACACTTAACTTAGCTACACTGACGTCGTTCGCTTCATCAGTACGCTTAGGTGCTAATGAATCTATTTCATCGATGGACACGCAACACATGAGGTATGGTGTTTGATGGCAACGCATGCAAATATCATTGATGATTCGCTCAGATTCACCCACCAGAGATCGATTGAGTTCACCAGCAGCGAGCGGTGGTGCAACCATATTGACTCCGATGCGAACCGATAACTTGCTCATTATATCCGATTTTCCAGTACCTAAACAAGATATTTTGTCGTTGAATACTCTCAAATAGCGTTTCAATTTAGCTTAACTCACCAGGCGGTCCGTACATGATGAATCCACGATTGGGTTTGATAAGATTTCGATCGAGATTTGTGATTCGCTCACTTAATCCTTGTTCGATACTTGCAATCATGCCTTCGATCGTGTTGATCTCGGCGCGTAGTTCGGTTCTTCTCGGTTCTAGTCTTTCCATTTCAAGTTGATGCTCTTCAATTAATTGTGAAGCCGAAAAAGTTTCTTCTTCGCCCGATGTCTTCCCAGTACGTCGAGGAGCGTCCGCCCATAATTCTCGTCTTAATCTACTGATCGCATCATCATGTTGATAATAATCATTTTCAAGTTCACTAAGTTTTTCTAAAAGCGTTTCATGACGATGTCGAAGATTGATTTGTTCTTCGAGTCGTGTGCTAGCCAATTGAGCCCACCGATCATCCTCGATTCTTAGATCTTGTTCAATTATTGTAAGTGGCAAAAAGAAGACTTTCATTTGATCGAATAATCCATCGTCAGCAAAACCTTCGGCGCGCATTTCTTGAAACGAGAGTTCGACGCAGCGCTTTTCGAGTTTGGCCGGATGAGCAATCCCTGCTCGAGAAAATTGATCGTTAAGCACATAATGGAAGTAGAGTTTGATCTGATGCAAACGAGCGAGCAATTCTGACATGGACGTATTACTCCGTTCTAAAACATTGTCAAATCGATCATAAACATGCATCTAAATCAACTCACCAGTTTCATTGTTCTTCTTCTTGGTCGTTTTAATCTCTGCAGCCATCTGTTTTTCTCGATTGACATACGATTTGAGTGTTTTACGTCCGTTCATAGACAATAACTTTAATTCAGCCCATTCAGTATGTTTCAAACCAGCCAAATGTGCATAAGTCGTAACATCATCTTCACGCAATGCCGCAATCCATTTTTCATATTTCCCATTATTCTCTTTTTCACAAACATCATGAACAAAGTGTTCCAATGATATTGTTCTTGGTCGATCGATATTGACCATAGTTGTCGATGACTCAACATCGTCGTCATCGTCATCATCCTTGTGACTGTTTCCTGTCTCGATTACATATGAAATATTAGCATTTGGATCGAGTTTCCATCGGGTAGGAAATGCTGGACCATCGTTGTTTACCAACCAGAGTTGCATTACACCACGCATATGATCAAAAAACCAAGTATCGAATTCATCATCGACTGTAATTGGTTCAGCTAATTGCAATTTGCGAAGTGAACGACCAGGATCGATTATGCCTCGTGCAAGTAGCTGTTCACGAATGAACACATCAAGAACACATCCAGTCATCGGTGGTAACTGATTTGAAGCCGTTGAAGTGGTATATCTATTTGTCCTAAATGAATATGATACTTTTAGATTGAAAATATTCTTTCGTCGAGTGCAACGTACCGGAATACTCTGGATTCAGTAAGAGGTTGGAACAAGAATCGATGTATAAATTCATGCACAACTGGCTGATCTTGTTTGACATCAATGCGACAAACGACTTCTCTCACATAATCGACAACAGTTGGCTTTGATGACGTGGATTGTTCACGAGTTGAATTGGACGGCAATGCTTGTCGTCTCTTCTCAGAATTTCGAGTAAATTGCATTCGATTGAATGCTGAGACAAGCTCATGGCAAGCCAGATCCAAATTAGTTGGATTTTGAACACATAGTTTTAGATGATCCATATTCGTTGCATCATCGAGAAGATTGTATTGGGTTGCTAAATGTCTAAGAACTTGTTCGCTAGCGGGTGTGGCCGAACTGCCTGTTTGCGACAGGAAAATCTGATGAGAGGAGCGAATTTCTTGCAGGCGTGTTTTGTTGATTGACGCAAATGAACTTGATATGTTGAGAAAGTCGAAGACGGACTGCGGTGTAGACATTGTCTAGAAGAGAAAATTCGATATTGTTGTAACTACAAAAGGTCAAACACACTGTCGCGGAGTCAATGGACATCAATAGAAAGAAAAGAAATAATTGCTATAGTCATGCACTGTTCAAAGATCACTTTGCACCTTCTACAGTTGTCTAGATCTCATTGATATTTAAGCAATTATCTCACATGAATGGAAACCTCAAAAACAAAAACTCACAGATTTTGTGATGATTAACCAACGGCAGAAATTGAATGAAATTAGTCGTAACTGCCAAACTGCTTTGGATCGTATAACATTGAAATGCTACGCTGTACCTTTTCTCCTCCAAAAATATCAATGAATGTGCAGCGTCTGTTCTTCTCTTTATAGTATGTGTGCACTGATTATTTTTGTCGTTCTTTCTTGTGCAAATATGTTGTCGTCAGTGTCTGTGGAGAAATTGCACAATATGTTTATTTTCCACTTATTCATTCGAAAAACCACACACCAGAGATGGGCAAGTCAGGCATTTTGGCAAGTCAAGTCAAGTCAAGTCATTTTTCATGGAACTCGAGTCAAGTCAAGTCAAGTCAAAGATTATTAACAAGAAATATCAAGATACACCGA